CTTAGTCGCTATATTTAGCCACTTTTCAGACCCCTCTAGAACTTTGATTTCTAAAAAGCCACTAGCGCCAAATCTAGAGACTTTTTTCTGCTACTGGAGACTTTGGAGACAACATCTAAAAGCATGGAGATAGATAAGTCTCAATTTTTACAAATACACATATGTGATTCATACATTCACAGGACAAGATCCACACATGAACACAGCTTAATTCACACAAGCACAAAAATCCACACACGTGAAGGACAAGATCCACACATGCACAGAAGATTCACCAAAGTATTTGCAGAGGGGAGTATGTGGAATCTGGGGGTAAGTCATCCCACGTGGAGTATTTTCTTGTGATTGGTTTATAGAAGGGAGCTTTGTGATTGGTGGTAAACCATCCCGTTTAAAAAAAAAATGCTTTTTTGTATCGAGGCGCGTCAATGGAGTCTCAAAAATCTACACAAAAAGCAGTGAAGTTTTAAGACCTCTGGTACTTTGATTTATAGTTGTTTATGGAGCAGAAATACTTTGGTGAATCTTGTGTGCTTGCGTCAATCGTTCTGTGCGTCTGAGAATCTCGTCCTTTGTGTGTGTGTGGATTTTTTTTTGTACTTGTGTGAATCGTGCTGGGCATGTGTGGATGACATATTGGTATTTGTAAACATTGAGACCGATCTAGATCGATATAAAAGCAGCGAACTCTGCTCTCCAGAGCAAGTAGATTGGTAACCCCGCCTCCTGCTCTCCATTATCTTGTCTGCTGTCATGATTCATGCAGCTATTATTTCTAGAGACTGACACGGGAGTGGATTTTCACTCCCGTCCCACTCCCACAGAAAAAAATGGTGTCCCGTCCCGATCCCGGGCCAGAGTAGAAATCTAAATCCTGTCCCGTCCCGCTCCTGGTGAAATTACTCCCTCTCCCATTCAGAATGACTCCCGCTCCCGCACCACTCCCATTCTTGTTGTCTTCAATAAGATTTCTGCCAATACATTGAATCTGAATTTCTATGAAGGGTCAGTTAAGTTCCTGTTTCTAACTCTAGTAACTGTTGGTCCCTCCATCGTTGTTTTTGAAAAACTCAGAGCGGAAGCACTGTTGGTTTTTGGGTCGTGTAGTTTTTTTTGACTCGCATTATAGCGTAGGCTTCAAGGAAGAAAACTACAAAATGGCAGAACAGTATTGGATTTTTTTCTTTCTATTTTATTTTTTGGCATCGATCCTAGTTTTTTTAGTTAGTATTGATTTGCTCCCGCTCCTGTCTGCTCCCGTTAATGTTTAATCCTGTACCGTCCCGATCACGTGATCG